TATACAAAATATTGTTTATTCTCCAAAAGCTTTTATTAAATTATACATTATTATTATAAATAATTATAGGGCCAGTGCCTATCAACATATACGCGAAAATTTAAAAAGATATACACTGTGTCAACTAAATGGAATTAATCTGAACATATACTAAAAGAGTAGTAATTGTCTAACTAATTCATGAGTTAAATCAAAATAAGAATATAATCAAACTTCTATAATATTAGGGATTATATGGAGGTTTGACTGTATTAAAGATAGGTGTCGGAACTTTTTAAGCAAATATAATCTTTCCAATACTTTTATCTTCATTCTGGATTTGGTGATAACTAATCTTTTCTAATAAGTAAATAGTCTACATTAGTAACAGTAATAGTAGGATTTGTTGTGTCTACAATAATTATTAGATAGATAATTCTTTAGTGAAATTAAAAGACATTCAGCCGAGGAGTACATTGATCGGAAGAATTAGGAGTTACGAGAAGTTACGACAGATTTATCCGTGAAGAATTTCTGGCTTGCTCAAGAGAATAGATCTTTAAAAGGATAAGTGACTCGATTAGAAAGAGATAAGGAGGAGTTGAAGAAGGATCAGTATGGAAGTTCCTATGTATACATCAAAATCTCAGTCTGGATTATTGATCTGATTGAAATTCATCTATTATACTAACATGGACTGAAAGTGGAAAGGGGTCAAACAAGCCTGCCTATATTATAGTTGATTATAACGTGAGAAATTGAGAATATTACCATCTCAATTTTTTGGAAAGATAGTATCCTGCCCTGTCAACAGTTGATGTATTGGAAATTCAAGATGAATATTTTACATACAGAGTACATAGTGGAAGGGGGGATCAATAAAGTTTTGCATATATTATAGTTAATTATAAAATGAGAAATTGAGAATATTACCATCTCAATTTTTTGGAAAGATAGTATCCTGTCTGATGTATATGGAAATTCAAGATGAGTTTTATATATACAGAGTACATATTGTTCATAAATTTCATGCAAAATATCATTGGATCTTCTATGATACTTCAATTACTTCATGTGCAACAAAACACGTGTACTCATATGCAAAGTTTATCATATGCGCGAAAATTAAAAAAGATGTACATTGTGTCAACTACACAGACCAATTTCCATCACTTGTAAAACATATACATCTTCATACATTTTAACAACTAAATTTAACAAACCAGTTAATCTGTTCTGAATTTTGAATATTCAAATGACAGTTTATACAAAGGCAAATAATGATGAGGAAGAAATTGAGAAATTTAATCAGCATTCTGTATTTATAAAATTTAAGCAAAAGTAATTATTAATAAAAGAGAAACTTATGAAAATTGCCCAACTTATTAATGGGCAATTTCAAATAATGAATGTAGTCAAACCTCTATAATAGGGCTTATAAGGAGGTGTTTTTGCATAGAGGGATTATATAGGGGTCTGAATGTATTAAAGAGAAGTATTGGATATTTTCAACATTTTTCTCTTAATTCTAAATAGACAAAGCTCACTACAGTTAAATTTATTCAACATTTTGAATTATAATAATATTATAAATGTCTTATAAATTGACATCATTTGACCAAATTTAAGAATCTAAAATAATGAGAGGTACTTTATTATAGATAGTTTCTTTAAGAAACAACAAATCACATTAAATAGATGACACAATAATGAAAAAGAAAATATCTTCAATAACATAAATGATAGGAGAACAAGTATTATGGAAGTTTTCAACAATATGATTTGAAGATATTTAATTTATACTAGTTAGTTAAGTCTGGAGTGAATCTCTAAATCATATAGTACTAGTTAATAGAATTTAGAGCGAATCTACTTAAAACATATAGTACTATTTAATCAAGTTTGGAATGAATTTTGAATTTGTTATTCAACTAAAAAAAAAATATATTAGTTAGTCAACTTTAAAAAATACTGGTTCAAATAATCAACAATTCAACCCTAAAGTAGTTCACAAGTTTCTAATAAAATTGTTCCTTTATTGACGAACATATACTACTAGTTAGTCAAACTACCACTCCATTTCATTTGACAAATATATTTATATGGATTAAGGAAACATGGTTGAAAAATTTTTACCATTAATCATAATAGTGATTATAGAAAAGAAAAATCAGCAGGACATATGCACTAGGTTCAAAGAACAACCATTAAACATTTATAATTTATTTATTACAACCATTCATCAATACTATTTAGCTTATATTAGTCAAATAGATTCTGGTGTGAGTCAACCTATTCTAAACCAGATTTAGCCACTTAGATTTTTACGAAAATGATAGACTTCGTAAAAAAACTTCAGAATTTGAAGGACAAATCAAATCGAAAGACGTACAACTCCTATCACATCACAAGCGTATTAGATTCTAGGCAATCTTACAATAATTTAAAGATATGAGTATGAAAATTATAACTGATAAAAATATATATTCACATAATTAGAAATATATTTTTGGCGTCAAACAATTTATTAATACTCACCGTGAATATCAAAAGTGAGGCAAATTTATAGATTATGGTTGGATTATAAAAAAAAGTTTTAATTACTGTTATGAATGAATATGTACTGTTGAAGGCAATAACTACACAGTACATATTCCAATTTTTGAAAGAATGAATATGTACTGTTGAAAATAATAACTACACAGTACATATTCCAAATTTTGATAGAATGAATATGTACTGTTGAAAATAATAACTACACAGTACATATTCCAATGTTTGAAAGAATGAATATGTACTGTTGAAAACAATAACTACACAGTACATATTCTAATTTTTGAAAGAATGAATATGTACTGTTGAAAGATATAACTACACAGTACATATTCCAATTTTTGAATATGTACTGTTGAAAACAATAACTACACAGTACATATTCCAATTATTGAAAGAGGTGAATATGTACTGTTGAAAGATATAACTACACAGTACATATTCAATTTTTGAAAGCACACTGGAATTTTACGTGTGATTTTATTTACTGGTGATGGTTGATCATGACTCATGAGACAAAACGAAAAAGTATTTATAAAAAAAGCAAAAAAAAAAAATTTTATTATATATTTATTAAATTTTAAGTTATGCAGATTATAGAAGAATTGGATTATAGAAAAGAAGAACAACATAATGCAATAGAAAAAAATTTTATTAATTCGATTAATACATTTATATGATTAAAAGTTATTTGAAATTATTATGAAAGAAAAAGATAGTAATTATATATACATAATAGCAGAAACTTATAAGTTTATATGAGTATTTCCCTTTAATTTAATAAAGAAAAGGAAAAAGTCTAGTGTGAAAACTGGAGCATATCATTACTATAGAATTGATGATGATTTTTATAATAAAAACAATATTCATTGAACATGATAGGCCCGGATTTTTATTATAGATTGGTATATTGAAAATGTAAACATAGTAGGTTTAGTTGAAATCAAACAATTTTACTATAAATGAAATTATATAAAAACTACCCAATTTCACAATGGAGGCGAAGGGGATAATATTACAAAAAGACTTCACAACCTTTCATGGACGTTGCTAAAGTATGGACTAGATCAAGTATTAAAAAATCAATACCTGAAACTATAGACTAGAAGAATAATTCACCAGATCACGTTACCATTCTTTTACCATATGATACGGCACAATATTGATAGATCAAGAATATCTGGTCCAAGAAATAACTCCACTAATCACGATGAGAAAGGAGCGTTAATGATATTAACAGATTATTCTGGAGATAGATTAAAAGCGTTAAATAGTTCCCAAACATTAGATAGCAATTACCAATTAGTAAATGTCCAAGAAATGGCCGCATTTTAGTTGAAAAATTTAATTAAGAGTTGCCGTGATCAACATATTCCAATGTCAACAAATAGAAAGAGATGAAGATGAAACTGGATCGGATGAAGATGTTCTTGAAATCGCATCCCGAAAGAATTCCTACTCTATAGACCATCATAAGGAATGAAAGGATTTCAAAATATTGCACAATTACTTTCAGCTATTGAGATCCATTCTGGATTTTGACTTGTCGGGAAATCATTAAATCGTGAATGGCAGATGATGGACGTTTTTCCGAAAATCACTTTATCCCAACATGGTATTATCACGACAAAATAATCCAAAAGACATTATCCTAACATGAAATTTTCCCAAAATTATATTACGAAAAAGAGAATAATTACTACAAAAGTCTTCATTTAATTAAAATGTACTTGATTTTTGATCATGTAAATCCGTGGCTTAATTCTGGTGAACGTAAAGAAAGAATTTTTTACTTATCATAATTTTTTATATATAAATAAATTATTTATTATTATCTATTGTATCATATATTAATATTATTTTATCGTTCAATCGGCGAATTTGGCCAGAGAATAAAATTGGTTCGATAGACGAATTTTATGATATACCTTATTTGACTATATAAAAGTACTCCAAACTATTATAAAAAAATAATTTCAAAATATGATTTTTAATATTTTTAGAGTAGACACTTTTAACATTATAATGAAATAAGATACAAAATATGAAATAATGATACAAAAAATGGAATTTAAAATTAATATTTAATTATATTTTACATAATAAATAACAAATAGATATTTTCGTAAATATAAATATATATATATATATAATTGATTGAATGGAATCGCGTTTAACTCACCGACAATTACTTTACCGACAATCATTTTACCGACAAGGCGACAAGACAAACGTTTCACCGACATATATATAAAATTAAATATAAAAATTTTATAAATATTTTTACATATATCTTTATATGAAATAGGGAATTTTTTTTTTGTTAGTAACACGTATTTAATTGTTAGATTTAATAAAATACAAAAAAAAACTACTACATTGAATGACCCTTTATAATAATCAATATTCATTTATTTATATAACTAAATGTGAATTATCTAATCAATGAGATACAAAATATTAGATTTGAAATAAAGAATATTAATTATTCTGTGATACTAATCTAAAAACATCCGTCTTTATATTTAACATTTTAGCAGAAAAAATTTTTTATACGTGCGATTGAACGTTAAAACAAGACTAAATTCGACAGCGACCAGAGGAATATAATGATACTACAGGATAAAGTTTTGATGGTAAATTATCCCATTTTGATACCTCCGGATACTTTATATTATTGACTGTAAAAGCACAAGTTCTTTTGATCATATCTAAATGAACTGTTATTTTTGTATCATTTCCAAATGGTGGACAATAATTTACTGCACAATTTTTAGAATTATAACAATCACCATTAGAACCTAATACCCAACCGGTGGGTTGAAATCCTGCAAATCTTTCATAATCAAAATTTTCTGATGCACATACTCCAACCCAAGTATAAGAAGACGCTTCCTCAATAACAACATCCCATTCAAAAATACTTTTATTTTCTAATATCATATTAACTCTGACATTTGTATGTGAAGAACAAACATTATTCAACGCAGATATTACTTTTCCATTTTCCTTAATAATAAGATTTGATCCACATGCTGACTCATCCCAAAAAATATCGCTGATTCTATAAATTGGTATTCCTCGAATACTATTTAAATCTGAATAATCTGATTTACCCAATTCTCCATTTATACGTTGAATCATTTGATTGGAAATGATTTTTAACGGCTCAATTATATCAATGTGAGATTTGATTCTCCTAAAGTCGATATATTCAATACATGGCTCTAATTCTTTAGCAACTTCTTGATTATCAGGAATAACTTTATTTTCCACTTGAACTGAATTCTCTATTTGTTTTAAAGTAGGCAACTGTTCCATGAGAGTTTTATATGCATCACTAGAAACTTGTTTTGCCGCCAGAATAGCACTGTATCGAAAAACTTCATATTCTGGTGTTATGAAAGGAATTTCTTTTTCATACGTACGTAAAAGCAAGCACTTAAGTGCTTTAATAGATAGTCGACCAAATTCAATATCATTTAACGGAATTGTGGCAACTTTTTCGACTAATAAATTTAAAAGAATTTCTTCTTCTTCTGATAATTGTAGTGTTTTATCCATCAAGTTAGATAATAATTCTGGCAAATAATTAGTTGAACGATTCTTTTCAAAGGTAATCTTAATAATCTTCATAATAATTTCCATAAGTTTCGATAATTGAAAATAATTCGCAGCAGAATAAATCTCAATTATATTATCCTTAATTAAAGATTCTTCTTGAATTGTTTCCGTACAAATATATTGTAAAATAATCTTCATTTCAGAAGAATTGATCAATGGAAAAAAAATTTGCTTTTCATAAATTGCTTTCGTCTCATCAGAACAAAGTAATTTATTAAATACTGCGGATCTTCCTGTTAAAATTGGTTTATAACCATATAATATCTCCTCATCTTTACACAAGATTTCTATATCGCTATACTCATGATTATTAACAAAAATGCCTAGATCACGTTCTAAGGTATCCTCCCACATTTCTCAGAAATTTTTTCTTTTTCTTTTTCTTTTTTTTTTTTACAAGAATTTTAGAAATTTACTATATATCTATATATTTATACTATTTATACAGAGTTTACTAGGAGGTATTTATTCCTAAAATAAGAAATTTTATAATGGAATTATGGAAATCAACAAGGCGAAAAAATAATTCAAAAGCTTAATTAGTTATTTTATTGAATGAATATTACGTACTTCAAATTTAAAAAAAAGGAAATGATATAAGTACAAATTTGTTAGTTTATAGGAAAAATGCGTGATACGATAATTCTTAATCCGTAAGAAGTGTAACGAAAGACTCCTATGCAAAGGTCTCACAAAAACGTTCATCCGCCCGATCGCCGTCCGGCACGTGACGATGTACATACAACAAGCGAATGGCGTTACGAGATTTACTAATTTCATGTGCACATACATGCAACATCGATGTCTTTACACGTTTTCAAAATATAAATACGGAACCGACTAACGATGTTTTTTTTTTTCGATCGTTGAAATGAACTGCGAACTAAAATAATATCGGGCAAACAGGAAGACATCATTAGGAAAGGAACAAGTTCTGATCATATCCATACAATAATAATTTATAGAAAATTTAATATATTATAAAATATTATAACAAATGGTGTATTAAAATAAATAAAACGTGTGGCTATAATTATTGGATTTCAGTTGCTGTCAATCTTTCTATATTAAAACAATGTAAATCCCTTATTTGACATTTTTTTTTTACAAAGAAAAATTTACGAAAATAAGTTTATCTCGCTTATCGACGTTACATATTTCTTAAATCGAATCAACCATTATATCCGAATTCAGGAATGATTTTAGTAAATTAACAAATTAGATATAGGTTAATAATTTTAATATTACTTAAAATGATATACATGTTAAACTCTAGATAGCATTTAAACTCTTTTGAGGTTTATAATATGCATTTCAGCCATAACTTTTAAATTAAAAAATTTAAAAATTATAATCACATTTGTGTACTACAGTACAATGTAAAATTATGCTCAGAAAAAATAATATTCCATGATGATGTCATAGAAATGTTTTATAGTTGTACAATTCTTATAACTTTCTACTTTTGTACTATTTTCGATACATTATTTTGTTACATATTGATCATCTCATCAAATACGTGTAGTTCCTATGGACATATAAATTTATGCTCATTCAGTTTCCCTATTCTTATTTTATTAGATTATGAAATGCGGTACGTAATAATTTAAGTTAGAGAGATTTGATTCAATAGTACCACAGTTGAATGTTCCCGATATACAATATATGCGCCTTTGTATAAAGTTTTAGAACCAGTCACGAGTTATTCTTCGAATGCTGATTATCAATTCACGTTACAAAATCAAATTATTTTAAGAATTTATATTGAAAATCATCTCGCCGACAATCGATTTATCGATAGTATTATCATTTTATCCACTGGCAAACGCTAAATAATATTATTGTTCAGTCAATTAGAAATATGCGGGATTTTACTGACCGATATTTACATGAGACATCCAATATTGAAATCAATATTAGTAGCATTAATTCCTATTGGTCACCGCAGTATTCCTAATGGCCGAACAATATTTCGGTCTTCGACCGATATCTCTATTCCCCCATCCAATATTTTTCGACAAAAATAATATTTTATAATATTGATTTTTATTAATTTTTATTTCTTCATAATCACTAAATAGTATATACATATATTTATAATTTATATTAATTATAAAGTCTGGTCTCAAGTTAAAATAATCATTAGGGCGTGAAAATTAAAAGTTTATGTGAAATGCAAAGCTCTGGATACGTCGTTGTCGTTGAGAATCCGCAAAACTCATACGCTTTTTGTGCCATTTGTCTTTTTCCAATGGCTTCCATTATTCTGACATCATCTTGCTAAAATCAAACATAAATATTAAGATGCTTGTAATTTTTCTTCACATTTCACAGTCTCATTTTTCCAAAGTGTATCATAATTAATAAATTTTTTTATGCGCCAAAGTGCATACTATGACGTGTACAATAAAATGACTGAAGTCCGATTGAAAAAGGTTTCATTTCCTAAATAAATTGATATTATTTTCATTATGCATTTCATGATTGATATTAACACTTTTTAAATAAAAGAAAAAGGAAATAATTATTAATACATCGACATTTGTAAGTCTATAAGTATATCAGTCTATATTAAGTCATAGTTGTAAGGGATACAAAGTTCACTTTAACCATATTTTATTAAAAAAAAAACAATCAATCGGCTTTGTAAGGGACACAAAGTTCATTTTTAACCATATTTATTAAAAAAAAAAATCAATCGACTTTAGGTATTTTGTAATCAGTAATTGATTCCGTTTACGTATAAATCATCGCACTCTTTGAGAATTATTGTATGCAACAACAATGAATTTATTTATATTTTTATTTATAAATTATTGATTCTACTACACGATATATGTTCAAAAATATATATATATATATATATATTTGTATTTTTAAAAGTTCTATAAAAATATTTTTATCACATGCACATGTAAAGGTTCACCGGTTAAAATTTTTTGTACATCAAGGAACTTTAATCTTGCTTATGATTAGAGTTCGCGGTTGAGCGGTTTGAGTCGGTTCGTTTCTTTCGGTTCAGTACTTTCGGTTCCGAATCGGTTCTGATAAATTTTGGTATTACCTGATTCAGCAGTTCTGGAGCGAACTGACCAAATCGTATTTTGCGATCATTATGGAACGACGGTTCATCCAATTCGAGCCGGCTCAAGTCGGTCCGTTCAATAGTATCGGGACGGACCGAACGAGTCGGTTCTTATACCTACTTGATTAGATCAATGTCACACATATTATTTTTAAATAAAAATTTGTTTATATTAAATAATCAAATCAAAAATAATAAAATATGATTACATTCCGTAACGTACAAAGAAATTTACTTGCTTTTCGTCTCCGCTTATAATTACGATTTGTTCATTTATTGTACAAAAACTTATTCAATGCGGAGGCTTTTATCTTTATTATTGAAAAATTTATATACCTCGCTGATTTCATCTATCCGTATTTAGTTACATGTGAACTAATTTTATCATAAAAAAAAACAACTCTAAGACCCGAAAAGATCAATGAAAAGGATACGTGTAATAATCACGTTAAACCACGGTGCCGATCATTTATACTCAAAATTGCGGAATGCCCGCAATCCGTCATTATAAGGAAAAAGCCACATATACAAAAGCATAGCATTTCAAAAGCCTGTATATTTGTAGTACAATTTCATTAAATTCATTTTATTGTGATTCTGGGCGTTACGGAATTTTAATTGCCCCAAAAAATAATGTTTAATTGATTGATTACACATAGCCACTTCAATCAAAGTACCAATTAACTTCATTGATCGACCAAGATTGATCAAAAATCAATCAACCATCAATTTTTGAAAATTAACTAGTAAAACTAATAAAAAAAAAAATTATATTCTCACTTTCCAGGTTAAATACAACAATTTCATTGGACAATTCAAATAAATTGAACAAAACTTTCTCATAAATAAAAAAGATCGTAGGATGGAAACTCGACAAGCAAGATTAATCTATCAAACGTCGCTTAATTTTAATCGAGGATATTTCATGATTGATTAACTGATTGATTTGATCAATGGCAGGCATTAGCGGTGAAGTTACGAGTCAGTAGATATCCATCCATGGTGGCCATGCCTCTGGTTAAGAGATTATTATTCATATTCCGAAGCTTGATTTTTCAGGAAGAGACTTTGAAAGTTGTGAATATTTTTTTTTTGGCTGTGCATTTGCGGTTCTGATCGATCATTTTTTGACTCGGTTCGGTTAAGAGCCTCAAGCGTTACTAAGCTCATTGGCTGCTGGCTTTGTTATTATAATGAAATCTAACATATACGTGGCATAACTGTTCAAATGTATCAATATTTGTGTAACATATCATAATAAAATATTCACTTCACAGCTAAAATGAATGAAATTGAACATACGCGTTATCTTTCTTTCTTTCAAATCATTTTTTGATTTAAGGACCATCCTCCCTATGAAAATTTATTCCGTGTTTTTTATTCATATCATATTCACGGAAATTATAGCCTCAAAACATGAATTATCCAAGATGCTTAGATTTTTCCGTAAATGCATCATATTCACGGAGATTTGCAGAAATTACGGATAAAATTTTTACAGGGCTTATTTCAGTTCATCTTAGTTCTCAACTTGTTTTGTTTATATATTAGGCTAGAAATTTTTATTCGGCTGTTATTTAGACTCGTTAATGAAATAAGCCATAGTGGTACCGTATCATATGCAATTGAATTTTCTTTGCATATAACAATGATTAAACTTTTAACATATATAAAAAATTTCTTGAAATTTCAAGTTTTCCTTGTTTATTCCGGTGAAACAGATGTAACATCGAAATTATAATATGTACTGGAGACTTTCTGACTTTCTTTTTTATTATTTCGTTTTTTTTTTCAAAAAAAAAAAAAAAAAAAATTAATTGCAATGTCAAAACTTAATAAAGATATCCTTTTCTTGATATTCAATGAATTACAAAATAACTCAAGCGACCTCTTTTCTTGTCTAATGGTTAATAAATATTGGTGTGAAACTGTGATTCCAATTCTATGGAAGAACCCTTGGCGCTTTAATATTGATTATCATAAAAGTTCTTTATATTCTATTGTTGTTTCTTATTTGCCCGATAACATGAAAGGATTCTTGGCAAAAGAAGGAATTCATATTTCAGACAAATCACTTGCAATTGATTACTTGTCTTTCTGTAAAAGTATTAATATGAATGTTATAGACGACATAATTTCTACTGAATCATCACCAGGATATTATCGATCTCTCTTGCAAGAAGAACTTTATAATACATTGATGAAGAAATGTCCAGGAATAAAATATTTGGATATACGTAGCGACTATCAAATATTTTGTCTTCCATGTATTCTAGAATCAAAGCCTCGCCTTGAATCACTGTGTGAATTAGCGTGTAACACATCCACCGATCCTAATTACTTCTACAGATTAGCACGTATTTGTCAACGTATACAAAGAATCATCATTATTAATAAAAATGCAAAGGCTAATCATGGAATCACTATATTAATTGAAGCTCAGAAAAATTTAAAGTATTTTAAATGGATGGATCACTTTAATGAAGAATATTGTTTGGAAATATTTGAAGGTTTTAATAAAGATCCTTATACGGAATCATTTTACGCATTGAGAAAACATGCAGATACTCTTAATCATATTGAAATAAGTATTCAGCATGATCGCATTTCCAATTATTATGATATTTATGATAACCAAAATTACATATTTCTACAATATACACTCCTAGAACTTTATAAGTTAAAAACGTTGAAAGTGAGTTCTCCCGTGTTTTTAAATAGTGAGGTTTTTGAAGAAAAATTGGAAACGGTGGCTTTTCCTGACCTTGAGATTCTTGAGAAAAATGTAATTGACATATACCAAGCTACTTGCATTATTAAAAATAGCGTATGTCTTAAAGAATTATGGATCTATAAATATCGTTTTGATTGCGATAGATTTAGTGATGATTCTCTTAATTTTATTCGTACAATTCGTGAAAATTGTGAATTAATTGAATATTTGACGATTCCTGTATTTCCATTATCAGATAATCATCTTGCCGAATTTGAATTGTTACTTAAAAGATGTCAAAATTTGCGATCATTAGCTTTTAGGGACTCGCGTTGTAGAGAAAATAGAAGAAAAGAAATTGAATATGGAATAGATTTGTCAAATGTGATAATTAGAGCAGCACCATTTAGTTTAAAAGAAATTGAATTTTCTTACGATATTTGGTTTTCCTCTAAAACTTTGAGGACATTCTTTGAAATGTGGAAAGGACGACCTGCAATTTCCATTCAAACATGTGTGCATTTTTATAGAAGTAATTATTTGGTGAAACTAATCGACGAATATAAAACTAGTGGAGTAATTAAAGATTTCACTATATTAAATTCATCATATGCTTTTTATGGAGATTTACATCAGGAGCCATTTTCAGGATCCGACTTTTATATTTAGTATATAAATTTTTTCTTTAAATATTCTTTAAATTTTTTATTTAAATTTTTTAATTTTTTTTTTCTTTAAAATTTTTTTTTAATTTTTTTTTTCTTTAAATTTTTTCTTTAAATTTGTTTAAATTTCAACTTTAGCTATTATATAGAATTTTGTAAAACTTTACAAATTGTTTGGTTTTAATTTTATTAATAAAGTTTTTATTTTATTTTAAAAAATTAGTGAAAATTTTACTCATGATATTTTTAAAACGTATTTAGTGCATAATATTTGAATTTTATAAATGTCGGCTCACGAGCAATTTATGTCGAGAATCCCCTTTTATCGCGTCCTGACGCTATCAACATCATTCCGTCTTTAACTTTCACTCGCCAATCAATGAATGTCTATCAGGGATCTATTATTTGCGATTAAAAGTGTATCATTGTACGGAACTAGTAGGCCCAAATCATTCGCCTTCGTAGAGTCAGCGAACCATGAATAACACGAACTCCCTATAAAAAATTTTATATTTACGGAAATAACATGAAATAAAAAAAAACACGGAATAGTGACTAAATAAGAGAATTAATAAAAAAATTTAAAACTCAGTTTGAAGCGCATAATATGTTTTATTACAAAATCTTATGTTAGAGCCCAAATATCTATTACCCAATTCTCAAATCCCAATCCCACGTCAAAATAAGTATCTAATTTAATGCATAGCAGCATAGGGCAATTGTGCCCAATGATTATATGCCGCCTCAAAATCAAATGAATATACAATTTGTGGAATTTTTTAAAAATTAAGGTTGCACAATGCGCGGATTGAATCACGTGCAACTTGCGGAAATCATACACTGAATTTACTAAACCCCTTGGAACAGAGGGTTTGTTATATCCAGTGGCGACTATACCGGGCACCCACCCTGTCCTGTACCCCCTCTTGTAATGTACCCCATATAATCTCCAACGCTCTCAAATTTGTATCATTCCTAGCCTGTCTAAAGCCACTCTGGGCCAAACTTTTACTAACAGAACACTTTGATGTAATGCCATGAACCGATCAGCAAGTATATGAAGAATAAGTTTGACAATATACAAAGTCCTGCAATTAGGCTCCAAATCCCTCCCCCAATGACTGAATTTTTTCTCTATCCCTTTTTCAAAGTTCAAATTGAGCCCGACCTTTACTGTTAGTTCATTCCACTCAGTTACCTTGGCAGGATCGCATAGTGAAGCATAAATATTTATTAGCTGAAGTTCAGAACCAAACCATCCAAGTATTTCACGCATTCGCCAAAATTGTGGAGGCTTTTCCTTGCAATATGGTAATTTTTGTTTTTTTATAATTAAAAGAATTACAACGCGTGTGTAACGTGATCAGTATGTCGAAAAATTTAACTATGATTTTTGCATTGAGGTTTGGACCACTCCTCCTGCTCCAGAAACTACACATGCTGACACAACGTCTCACCAGCCGGTTTCCGTTGAGCTTACTCCTCCGGATACCTCCTCGCTAAACGCGACTATTCACGCACCCGCCACTTTAGAAGTTGCGTTTTCTTGATTCACTTAACAGAATAATTCCATCTAAAAACTAATTAGATTTCACCATCATTGGAATGGATAAGAAACTTTAACCTCAAATCATGAAAATTATTCGACTTAACAAACAGGAAATAACCCTCAAATCATGGATATTACTCGACTTAGCAAACAGGAAATAACCAGAGAGTTTGTCGGAAGGGCAATTAAAATTCCAAAATACCCATGTATTTGTTGCGTGATAGGAAAGGGTTACTCAAAATAAAGTTGATCACTACTTTGTAACGTGATCAGTATGTCGAAAATTTAACTATGATTTTTGCTTGAGGTTTAGACCACTCCTCCTGCTCCAGAAACTACACCGGTTAACACAACTTCTCACCAGCCGGTTTCCGTTGAGCTTACTCCTCCAGATACCTCCTCGCTAAACGCGACTATTCACGCACCGCCACTTTAGAAGTTGTGTTTTCTTGATTCACTAACAGAATAAAAATCTCATTTCATCGATACAAACAACAGCCAATATGGGATTTTTCATTTAGCATGGAAATTGCAATCCAGATTCAGGTACGCCAAATTCTGATGAAAAAATTAGATCTCACCATCTTTGAAATGAAGAAACTTTTAACCTCAAATCATAAAAATTATTCGACTTAGTAAACAGGAAATAACTAGAGGGTTTGTCGGAAAGGCAATTAAAATTTCAAATACCCATGTATTTGTTGCGTGATGGAAAGGGTTACTCAAAATATATCATTACTTTGTAACGTGATCAGTATGTCGAAAAATTTAACCATGATTTTTGCATTGAGGTTTGGACCACTCCTCCTGCTCCAGAAACCACACATGTTGACACAACTTCTCACCAGCCGGTTTCCGTTGAGCTTACTCCTCCGGATACCTCCTCACTAAACGCGACTATTCACGCACCCGCCACTTTAGAAGTTGTGCTTTCTTGATTCTCTCAACAGAATTAGAATCTAACAAGTGTAAAATATAAACACTCATTCCGTCGACAAAATAACAGCCAAAGTTAGATTATGTCGTGTAGCAGCAAATGACCAAAATCTGATGGAAAAATGTAATCTAGATTCAAGGATTCAAATATTGTTAATTATTTTTGACCTCATATCGACGGAAATATGATCTTTTGATCTTCCATCACCAGCGGGTAGAGCACCAGCACCAGGAGGAGCGCCATCACCATCCAGTAACTATTATAGAATCTGTTTATAATGCATTCACTGGTTGCTTCGAATTAGGCCATTTACAATTTCAGCCATAATTAACAATTGATTTTATATCTGCATCATATGTGCGTTCGATTCGTGCATTCTCTAAATAATTTTCATCTTTGGGAATGGAGATGCAACTTTAGAATCCCCGAAATACGAGAGTAGTATTGCCAATTCTCAATAATATTTGTTGTTTATAGAAGGGTTGTTCCGAACCATAAGAAAAGCCATATTCTGAGATTATACATTGAGGTATTATCTCCTAAATTAATACTAAATCTAATGAGGGAGTGATACTAATCAAAAGACGAGAAAGTTGATTTTCTTTGCGAACTGCTTGCATTGCCTTAACAATAACAATTATAGTAGTGATACTATGCATATTTTCATATATTGAATCTGTCCACATTTACCATATCATGAATTTCTCTAATGTTAAAAAGATTTCCCTATGCAACCTTGTTGACACGAAATCACAGATTATATTTGAACATCAAGACATCACATCAAGACGTAGGATTGATTTTCTCCGAAATACATTTTTCACATCTGTGAGATGATGTTTTGATCAAACCTCTATTCAGTACCTGGTCGTTGTAATGCAAAAAGAATGTATTGAATAAGGTGCTCCTACTGAATGTGAAATCGGAAGATCCATTAAAAGAAGGAAGTCATAGATCTAAATTATCTTCATTTAACGAAACTCCCAATACAGGACATTGATCGGAATGTGTAAAATATCTAAAAAAAAGCACAATACAATTAAAAATCAGAAAAGAGTAATGATAAAATGTTTTTCATTAAATAAAAATAGCTAATAAATATTACAGGATTAATTTATAACTTGAGAGCTCGTAAAGTGGTTAAGAAACTGGCACAGGAGCCCGACACGAAGGAGCCAGTCGAACAGGAGCCCAGTCGAGCAAGAACCAGTCATTCAGGAACCGACGCAGGAACCGACGCAGGAACCAGTCGAGCGCTTCCAATTTACCTTTGTGAAATATATTCATTAAAATCCCAATAAAAATAACAAAATACTAAGTTTAAGACTGCTTCAAAATTCACCTCTACAAACTGTTTTTAAAAAAGATAAAAGGAATCCATAGTAGGATTACCTAAAATATAAAAAATGAAAGAAATTCATGAAAAACGGCAAAAATAAAATATTGAAAATTCTGAATATTAACTTAAATTATTCCTACCACTCTCTCGAAGAAATAAGGAAAATGATAATACTTCAATATTCATTATCATTTGTTGTAATTAAAATTTATTCGCCTAATCAGTATTTATCTTGTTACAATCAGACCTCTATAATTTGCACTCTCCATAATTGCACCCACCATGTATACCCTCTCTAAATGCACCCTCTGATTCGGTCCCAAGCTTATATGATCTTTAACTATTTTACCTACACCCTCTCTAAATGCACTATTTTGAAAATTATGCATATGGTCCCAAGAGGTGTTGTATCTACATCGACTTATCTAACCATAAAGCTTCCATTAATTTTCAAAGCCATTCTTTAAGAACTTTTCATAATGCTAAAAAGAATGAGGTGTGATCAAAGTAATATGACAATATCTTTGGAAATTACGCAAATTGCTGAGACTCAGAAGTTAAGAACTGAGATTAAAGATATTTATGCTATTAAGGTTGTTATCGATCGAAACATAATGTTTGAAAAACTTTAACAAGAAAAAGCGGTTAAATATACAAGCCGTTGATTTGCTCTGGAAGAAAAAAATTTCGAGTCGAAAACTCGAGATTTGAGGCGACGATCGTTGTGTCAACCAATAATAAAATTGACCGGTTTAAATGATTGATTGCACGTGATCGCAATGTATCACTGCTATTTTCTGTTGCGACCAAATGGAATTGGTAAAAGTGATTGATTTCATGCATTCTCCAAAATTGTAGAGGCTTACAACGCGTTGATTCTAAGTGTATCACCTTAATAGCAATAGAAAATCTCAATTAATTTGAAATTTGATTAAATGAATAAACATCTAATATATATTTTAACTTACAATAGCGGAACACCCTTTACGTCAGTCAACCCAACCAAATTTTTTAGTCATATCACCACATTCATCAGACCTCTGCTAAAATAAATTTTTAAAAAATTAATTTCACATATTATTAAATGCTAAATGTAACTAACTATAAGGTACTTTACATTCATGGCCTTCAAAAATAAGTAAGCATCGCGATCGCGTGAAATTGCTATCACCTCCACTAGCCAATGCACCAATTTTTTTTCTTACTTTTGGTTGTATCAATGTATCACTGCTATATTCTGTTGCTTTACAGGATACTTTGTTTGATTGGACCAAATGGAATTGGTTTATTTGGTAAAGGTAAATTTATTGATAATATATTTGATTAATTGATTCCAAAATCCAAAATAAATTTGACGCCCTTGATTTTTGATTAAATTCTAATATAAAAACAAGCAGTGTACTCAATTCATCATTTCATCTATCTGGAAATCTGCAGAACATTAAAACTGCCAGACAAAATTGTCTGCTCCTAAAGTAAATATCTCGGTGCCAGGACCAATAAAAATAGGTCGATGTGTATTAACTAGCATTGATTTACCAAAGTCGTTTTTTGTGCTAGTAGAGCTTTCTATTTTATTGATGAAAATAATTAATAAAAATTCAATTAATTAGTTAAATAAATTATTTCACTGAATAATTAATGCTTACAGTACATGAAAGTTCGGGACACTACCTATAGCTTCACTTAACATGGCATGAAACTCTTCCATATCTTACACAATAATATCCTCTCCAACGCATTAAAGTAATAATAAACTCCATCTAAATAAATGAAAGCGTTTTTTTACAAAAAAAGAGATTATTCTTTAAAAACTGCTAGTATAAATATTTACATATACATATAAATGATCAACTCACCAATACGGAACATGTTCTTTCTGGAAGTTTACATCAACAATTTCGTTATATACACGTACCTAAATAAATAAAAAAACACTACTTCTGTTCCTTCTTGCAAGATTAGGGTCGAATAATTCACGATTGAAAATCAAATAGCAAATAGCAATTCAATAGTCACGTTTTTCACGTGTTAAATAATAAACAGATTGTCACTGGAGCCAATTTTCTTTTTATTGTTCGATATTATTAAAAATAAGCACGAAGAGGAATTTTTGCATGTAATGTTACTAATGTAAAGTGCACAAATGTCCCTTGTATCATTTTATCATATTTCATCATTTTAGCCTCAATTTCTATATGATTACGCATGTTAAGTTCCCAAATAGTCAGGATGAATAATTATAGCTAATTCTAATAATTCTAATCTAATCCCAACTCAAATCCTAGTCCCAATCCTAATACTTTTAATGACCCAATTCTTTCCTCTGACTTTGGGATAAATCAATCGAGTTAGGCGATTTATTGTAATTAAAAATATATCCTTTGTTAATGAAAATTATCCTGGATATTTGTCAATAAATTATTGATAATGTAGCTCGTCAGAAATAACATAGGAGATCGTGAAAGCGTATTCCTTCCATCTCTTATATGCCTTTTGATGGACAATTTGCCACCACACTCGGCATATCAAACTTCCAATAAATAGGTCTGAAAAGAACGATCCAATGCTGAAAAATTAGCATAAATTTTTTTTAACAAAAAAGAAAAAAAAAATAGCAAAAATCAATTCCTACCAATGGTTCAGCATTGCCCAAATCATCGAGTACTTTACGGGTCTTGTTAATTAATTCTTCAAATTTTAATTGGATTCTTAAATTGCCTTTCTCCTAAACCGGACGTTTACTTTCAAGTTGATCAGTTATATGCGTTGTCCTTACAATATCTCGCCAAGTTTCTATAATAATTAAGACTTGAGGTTACAAAGAATTTCGATATCTATATAATCAAGAAAGAATATATTAACATTAACTTAAACATAGTTATTATTAAAATAATCCACAAACAGAGTTACATAATCATCACTACGATCGGTAACTTACCCTTTATCCTATCTATATTAAAAAAAGATTGCGTTTTTTTTTTGATTTTTGTGTAATCTCGCCTATTTATATGATCATGTGTCGTAACTAATGATACGCTTTTCAAAGAGTACGAATATAGCTTTCATAATCTTCGCTTCTAACAGCGGAAATTTTAGTTATATGTGACTTTGAATTTCTCTCAGTTAACGGGAATCTTTAGTTTTGGGGTTTGTTATAGCCAGCTTGGAAATTATATTAGTCAAATTAATTCCTTTAATATACACAAATAGCTAAGAGCTTGCAAGTTCTTGGTCGGCTCTGTTAAGTTCTAATTATTGTCGGTTCAGGATTGGTAAAAGACCGAGCAAAATTAGATATTAATAATATTTGGTGATTCATCAATTCTATTCTCATCTACACTAGTAATATTTTAGTGGCTCATCCACAATCATACTAACTGTCGGTGGTTGGCATGTGAACAAAGAGTTTGGGAATATGTTTTATTGATATAGAACTATCATCTTTACTTAAATAGGTTTTGTTGTATTAAAGCGATCACGTTATTTAGGTTTGTCTTCAACTTTGGTGTTTTATTTTCGATTAAACCGTGTTGATTGATTGGTGTAGTAGTGGATTTTGAAGCAGAGGTTTTAGCTTCGGAGGCCTTGTGGTCACCAAGCTCGTTGTCTGAATCCTGGCTGAATTGGATTAAAAATTTTTAGTCGATATAATCATAATAATAAAATTGGATTTGTTTATAACTTACATCATTTTCTTAAAACTTCAGATTTTAAAGATTAAGTTGCTTTCTTGGCGTTATTAAAACAACCTTTTATACATGAGAGGGTGATACAGTTAGTTACGCATCCGCTAAACAACCAATTTAGATTGAACGATACAAAATTATGCACTAAATTTATTAAAAAAAAAAACAAATGCGTTATAAATCCCTTTTTTATTTATTAGACTTTTTATATTTATAATTTTAAAAATATATATACCCTCATTTAAAGGAGATTTACGGAAAACAAGTGTGAAAGGAGAGAACTACAGCCAGCTCTTAATTATATAAAGAATTTACGTTAAACAAGGCGTATTTGATTGGTTAAATGTCACGTGTTGAGAAAATTTCGTTATAAAGCGATTAGATTTGGATTGCAGATCCTCTACCTAGAACGTGACGTTGTTTACCCGAACGCCATATAAAAATAGAGCTTTTGCTCAATTCACTTCTCACTTCTATATGTTACCCAGTGTGAAGTCCATTATTTATTTAGAATACGATGAAACAAATGAAAATGTTCGAAAATAAAGTGGACTAATAATGTATATTTTATATTTTGAAGTCGTGTATTTACCAAGTGAAATTTTTCGATAAATTTATTGATATTTGTTTCTATTATCTACAGTATGTTACCTATGGATTATTATAAAGATTCTTTCATCGATATTCCTACCAGCCTAATCGCTAAATTATATTTTAAATTTATTTAAATTACTTCACAGCTTGAACTACATCTTTCATTTGGATCAGACAATACTATTGATGAAATCCAGATTTAGCAGCAAATACAATACTTTAAGAACGACTCTTTGAACATTTTAGTTCAATAGTGCCTGTTCAGAATCCTAGTAAACATGCTAAGAATACAGAGGTGTGTGTGCCCATTGCTTTTCATCTCTAAACGTTTGGCACAACATCAGAATTCTATTTTTATTTTAACTAATTAACTTTAAAAATAATGCATTGTTAATAGTATATAGAACATCAATGTTTAAAGAAATACAGTCAAGTATTTGAAAGGACTCTTATAATGGATAATTATCTAATCATTTAAACAAATTTGATTTATTATTTATCTTCTTGAACGCTTTTGGATTTTCTTATTTGTGGAAAAGACGATGATTGACTGGACAAACCAATCCAGATACTTGACTTCACCGAAATCATCAAAATGCTTTCAAAAGTTATGCAATCCTTAAAAAGTTGGTGAAGGCAAATTTTATTCCTTGTTGATGGAGTTGAGGTCAAGAGTGTTTTGTGTGTGTAATAAGGATTGTTAGGTAGTATAGTTACAAGCAAGAATTCTTCCAATTTACGATAATCTGGAGAGATTAGACAAGGATATAATTAGTTAATTTCGTCCTTTCATTCTAAGTGTCAGGTTTTTTTGAACTTCTGTTATTCCTCTGCAGATAACACGATTATTAATAAGCCCGTGAATCATGGATTGGTTGAATTATCAGAATTTCTAGTAAATCTGGTCTTAGCCATTTATTTTGACAAAATCACGAAGTTGTACAAGTACACAAATCACTTCCTTACATAAAAGATCATTCACAAAATCCTCTATTAAAAGAGGAAGACTCATCTTATTCCACAACCATTAAAAATTCAGCTAATCGCCATAAGGTCATCATTAATGATATCAAATACTTTTTAAGCGCCGAGGGTATTAAAGCTATTCACAACAGATACTCAATTACCGACAAGGAAGAAGATAAAAATGATGCCGTACGTGTCACCTACAGCAATTCATTAAACAAATACGGTCAAAGGTCTAAAGGATCATGAGGGCGTGTCTATTAGTTAACAAACTCTGGGAAAAACATGCTGGAAAAATACAAAGGATTGGAACTTATTATATGGAATTTCTTCAAAAAAGATGTAATTAATAATGAGTAATACATTTTTCCCACCAAACAGCGATATAACAATAACTAAACACATTAGAGAATCAAAAAGTTGTTCGTTCGATAAATGATAGTATGATAACCTAATTGTTCTAGATAAAAAGAATTCGCCAGAGACCGAATTATATTTTGAGTCGCATTGACTTCATTAAACTTCGATATGTTGCAGAAAATTTAGTTTTAAAACCATCGTCGCCTACGTTACAGCAGAAGGAACAGAAGGAAGAAGTATAACATAATCATGGGAGATCTTAATATTCAATCGTCAAATGGGTTAGGTTACTAAGGACCAGTATTGACACTGTTTGTATAGATACTTCAGATTAGAAAGGATAACTAATGAGAATGGCATTAGTTAAGATTAAAAACCTGAATTGGCTTCAGATACGAAATAAAGGAAATAAAGGAAATAAGGGCGCTTTTTGTAAAGAATCTAGTTGCCAAAAAGGTAACCGAGAACTTAATCGACATAAAAGAATACATGATTATATTAAGGGCTATTTAGACAAAAAATAATCAATGAAAAAGATCAATCAATGCGAAAGAAATCAATACGGAAAAAATTCACGCGAATTTTTTTTTTAACCAATACTTATTAGTATTTAAAATTAACATTCAGTATCTCATACTGGACGCTACCAAAAAAACCTGACAACATAATTGAAAAATCATCGCTAACTTCTGATTTGTATCAGATTGTCTTCGTTTAACGAAACTTCCAGGTGGCGTGGGTGGCGTGCTATCAAAGCAAATATTGTAGGAGTACTGTAGGAGCAGTTTGTAATAAAGCTTTCAATTACCTTTATTTTATCCAATCCAAGAAAACTAGATAATGTTGCTGAAGTCATTGATTTCCCCAGAAACCGGTCAGAAAATTGAGTCGATTTAACTCTTGATCATCTCTTTTTTACCTGCTTATCTGAATATATAATAGTCACCAAAGAGGCCGAATTGTCAAAGAGTGCGGAGGCACTATGAAGTATGAACTTATGTCTGGAAAGAAAGATATCTCCCCAAGCCGAACACATTCCAGGAATTCAGAACGTGATCGCAAATCAATCTTCTTGGTTAAAGACTGAAAGGAACGATTGGAACTAAATCCTGTGATGATTGTGTGTCAGCCTTTTAAATACGGTTTCACTACTTAGTTACGGAAATTATTTATTTAAAAAATGAAGAAAATATAACTTCGATGGTTTACCTTACTTAACTCACATCCGATTAGAAGATGTAAAAAAAAAAAGAAATATCGTAGAAAAGAATGTTTTTTAAGAATCGTATGAAAAAAAAACCAGGCCAAATGAAAGTTCCCAGCGATTTCTCTCTGGTACTTTCGCCACCTTAAACCAGTTTACGTTTCCAATATTTTTTCAATGTCTTCGATTATTTTTTTATCATCAATAAAAAATTATTTCATTATCGACAAAATTTTAACGATTCGTGGCACAATAGTAAAATAAACATTTGTTAGATAAATAAAAAAGCAATAAATTATTTTTTTTTATGACTTTTAAACAGTGTTGTCATTTTCATTTTTCATTGCATTAACTTTGGCGATTGACTTTATAATATTTGATCGTTTTTTTAATCCTACCAGCTACACTAAATAATAATAATAAAAAAATTTGGGGCTACTCAAGGGGTTTTTTTTGCTTATCGGAGCAGATGAATTCAACATGTCCATGTCATGTGATCAATTTTTAATGAACCAGCGATGAATGTTGGAATTTATTTAACGTTAAAAATAATATTTAAAAGAAATGGTAATGATTTACGCAGTTCACAATTACTAATTTTTTTTTTGTATAACCAATTTTAAGTTCACCAAGAAAAGCCCCTTCAAACTCCGATTGAAGAGAGAATGAATTATATTAATCTGATAGTTCTCATTGGGAAAATGCATAAAAAAGAACTCGATTGGGACTCAACGTAAAGTCGTAAAGACTTATAATTTTGGCGTAGTGCATAATTTGTAATATGCGTACTGATAGATTATCGAATAAGATTCTTTATAGTTTAACAAACTTGGATTTATTTAACATGATTCTATTTTTAGCAAAAATTTACATGGATATATCTTTTTATTATTAAAGAATTTTTACAATTGATTATTTAATATTTTAATAATAATAATATTTATTGATTATTATTATTACAAATGAATTTAATAAATTTGTAGAATGCTTTCAAAAAAAAATTTGTATCAAATTTTAATACATCCCAATTCGTTTTAAAAATACGGGATTCTTTTTTGTATAACCTTCCAAAAATATCAATCTTCAGAAATGACTTGGTTCTTTTACTTCTTTGTTAAAGTCATTTTTTTTTCCTTTCCGAAGTCCGGTAAAAAGTCAAGTTTTGTAAATTTTGTTTCACATATTTCTTATTAAAGAGTTTAAATCATGTTTCAGATCACCCGAGGTCATTATTGTTTGTTTGATAAAAAATTTTTTATAGTTGTATTGTTTTGTTTGGGTAAATCTATATAATTTGTATGAGTAATGATCAGCAGGGGCATACGTAACCAAAAAAGGTATTTAATTGTTTTTGATCAACGTGGGCGTATCAAACAAATCAAACATGGATACTTTATTAAAAATACCGAATATATTGATATAACAATAATTGTTTCCACACACACCCTCAAATTATAGGGTTCTAAAACAATAAACTAAATTTAGTTATGAAAAACTTTTACTTATGCGATGAAAAGAAAAAATCAAATATAAATACAGTATCCAAACAACCATTGAGAAGAAGCATTAAATTTTTTTTTTAAAAAAAAACATCATTTACATTAATAAAATTTTTAGAAAATTATATTCTTCGTCTTTTTTTTTTTTTATCAATTGTAAAAAATAATGAAATCAATGATTAAAAGGAGTTCAATACATAGAAAATTTTTAGAAGTAATGAAAAAACCAATCCGCAATCTAAATATCGATATCGATAAATTATTACTGGAATGTAAAAACAATAATTCATACATGCTGTACCGAAGAAACGAATTAGTAAAGTTGAATCAAACGGAGAGCATTGAGACACAATTTAATGATTTGGTAGAAAAATTGTGGAAAAATGAAAGTGACGAAGTAAAAGAATTTTACAAAGTATTAGCGGCTGAGGGAAACCGCAGATACAAGTCAAAAAAGCAACAACCGCAACCGCCACAACAACCACTACAATCACAACCACAATTATATCACCCTCTATCATACGAAGATTATCAACTACCGCAAGGTTATCAAATACTACTACACGAAGGTTATCAACTACCATTACACGAAGATTACCAACTACCACTACTCGAAGATTACCAATTACCACTACAAGAAGATTATCAACTACCACTACAAGAAGATTACCAACTACCATTACAAGAAGATTACCAACTACCATTACAAGAAGATTACCAATTACCACTACTCGAAGATTACCAATTACCACTACAAGAAGATTACCAACTACCACTACAAGAAGATTACCAACTACCACCACACGAACTACCACTATACGAAGATTCTTACCAATCACAGCATCTACAACCACAACAACTATTGCAAACAAATGAAATTCAGCAAAACGACTATCTACAAAAAATAGAAAATGTATTGCTTTCTTACGATCTATACTTCAATTAAAAACGGAGGCTGGACGACACGTGTAATTTATAATCATATGATCTTTCTGAAAAAAATTTCTTTAAAATAATCATTTTTTTTATATTTAAATTTAAATATATATATAAACACTTTATTGCATATTTTATTTTAATTAATTGTTAAATTCGTACATTTAATTACAAGATTTGAATTTAACTTTTTTATATTCCTATTATCAACGTTATAAGTAATGTTATGTAAACATTGAAGTTTAAATAATCATAATAAATATAGAATAATCATAATAAATATAGAATAATCATAATAAATATAGAATAATCATAATAAATATAGAATAATCATAATAAAAATAATAACTGTCTCTTATACACATCTAGATGTGTATAAGAGACAGAAATATAAGAATAATCATGATAAATATAGAATATAATTTTAACATATAGAATTTAACTAAAATTATCAGTATTACATTGTAATAATAAAAAATTGTTCTTGAAAAAAAAAACAGAAATCATGAGCTAACCTTTTTCACTATATTCTGTCAACGAAAGGAATAATGCATCTTTACATGTCCCCATAAATATGGAGTGTATAAAATTTGTTTTATAATTGTATTTGTTGTGTTATAAACATTTGAAAATACACAATTAACCATTTAATGCACATTTAGTATTTTATAAAATGGTCTCAAGACCAGTAAAATTTATTTACATTTTTATTATAGATATTTAATTAAATAAATTGAATCATTTTTATTACCAAAACTCTTCAATTCGAAGTCGACAGGGACTACGCAACATTACCATTGGATAAATAATATCTGGGAAATTACGCCAATTTGATACCTTCGGATACTTTATACCATCGACTGTAAAAGCATAAGTTCCTTTATTCGTATCTAGATGAACAGTAATTTTCGTGCCATCCTTAAATGATGGACAATAACTTAAATTTACGGAACCATTACAAATACCATCAGACCTTAACATAAATTTATTTTCTTGAGATTTGGATAATCCACCAAATCCAATACAAATATTATCATTAGTTTTCTCAACAATGACGTTCCATTCATAAATTCCTTCACTTTCTATTCCCCATTTAGTTGTCGCTGCTTGGAATGAATTAATATCATCCTGCGCGCGTACAACTCTTCCATTATCCTCAATTACAAGTTTTGATCCACATTTATCCCAAACATAAGCAGATTTATAACACGATGGTATTCCACGAATATAATATAAGTCTGGATTATTTGACTTAATATAACGGAGAGCATTTATAATGATATCTTCTGAAATAATTTTTAGTGGTTCAATGATCTCAACTAATATTTGTCCTTCAATTCGCCTGAAATCAATATATTTAATTAAAGGTTTCAATTCTTTAGAAATATTTTTGCAACTAATAACAAACGTTTTATTCATGTCGACTGATTCTTCTTCTATTTGCTTTAAGGTTGGTAGGCATCCTATGAGAGCTATATAGTTATTATTATTTACTTTTTCCGCCGCCAAAATAGCACCATAACGCAAGACCTCATATTCTGGCGTTGCGAATGATTTATCTTTTCCATGTATATGGAACAAAAGGTGGTGTAGGGCTGAAAAAGATAATCGACCAAATTCAATGGTATTTAATGGCGTAGTTGCTACTGCTTCAAATAATAATTTAATAAGGGCATCATCATTTTCTGCTAATGATGGAATTATTTCTGCAACTTTGGACAACAACTCAGGAGAAAAATTTTTTTGGTTTTCTTTGTTATCCTTTTCTATAAAATTCTGTACCATCTTAATAATGATACCCTGTAAATCTAGTAATTGGAAATAATCAGCGGCATAATAAGCCTCAATAATATTATTTTGATTTAAGGACTCTTCTTTAACAGAACCTGTATAAACATATTCTAATATAATTTCCATTCCAACGGAATTAATTGTTGGAAAAGAAATTTGATTTTCGTAGCTTTCCCTCATACCATTATAAAGCAAGCCGTTAAGCACATCTGATCTCGCTGCTAAAATAGCTCTACAACCATATAATTTTTTTCCATCCTCACATAAAATTTCTATATCACTATATTTAGGATTATTTATTAATGATCCAAAATCTTGTACTAACGAATATCCTCTAGTTGCCATTATTAGAGATTGATTTTCTTTATCAAATGCGTGAAAAAATGCGTGAAGCGTTTTCCGTGGGAAATACTGGCATATTTTATTTATTTGTCCGTAACACAATTACGTTAAATATAGTTATATATTAACAATTTGTAAACCTGTAAAACATTAAGCCCGTAAATCAATAACTGAGGCTTAGTCAATAAAAAAATTTTTAGTTAACAGAAGGATTTTGAATTAAATACAAATTAGGAAATTTATATTTATTCCTGAACGAATGAGTTACTTCAATATTTCTAAATATATAATAAATAGATCCTATCTTTTAATTTAAATACAGTAAATTATTAACAATAAAAGGAATAATGAAAAATGAAAAAGAAGTAAGAATAATATTGGACGGTTTTGAGGCTTTGATGGCTTTGATGGCTTTGATGACATAATCCTTTAAGACCTTTGATCACAATAAATTTTTTTAATTTCCGCTCTCTAACATTTGCGGGTTAGAAATTGTAGCAAGAATATCGCCCAAGGCCGTTTGCGTTTCGTTTCGGCAGAACGTGTTTTATCTGCGGAGGTGAATTTTGATTTGGTGCGCGTAAACCATTTATGATGTTTAAGAGTTACTGAGTTATAAATGCCACATCACTATATGTTACTACATTTGAGTAGAATAAATAAGTTCTTCGCCATGGTGTGTATGGCGGTTGCTTTTGGTTCTGGGTGAGATTCATTCGAAATTTGATATACGGAGTTGGACATGGGCGGCACGCCGGAGTTTGAACCAGTGGATTTCCTGAGAGACATAAAGACTTGGTAGGTTCATATAATAATGAAAAAGTTACTTGGCATAGATTTCTTTTTAAAAAAATATATAATCTTCGTTGACCTATAATAATATTCTGTTGGAAACTTCCATTTCATCTTTCAAAGTTATAATAATAGAATATTTTAAATATTCAAATTTAAATAATTGCTCGTAATATATATTGATGGGAATTTCTTACCGATATGAATTAGCACTAGATTTCGCTTCTCCAGGTTTGATAAAGTGCCATCCATAAGCATCGACATCGTACCATTGATTGCTGGATATTAAATGTTCAGTACATAAAACAATTATGACAATATTAACAAGTCACTTTTAAGAATAACATTATCTCTTAAGAAAATGATCCCATCGATAAACCTTTTCAAAAGTTCTCTCACTTGTGCGGTAATAATAAAATTCCTAAATATCTGTTACTTAATGTATTAAAAAATAAAATAAACATAATAAAAAAAAGTGTGATAACAACATGTATTTTGGGCTGACATTAATGCATATCTTTTATTTCATTATATAAAAAATAATTTTTTCTCTGTGTTCTAAAGTTCCGAAGTGGTACAATGAAAAAAAAACAAATTTTCTTATCGAAATACTTGTATTTCTAAAAAAAATAAATAAGAAACTAATCTGCTCTTTATCTTTGTAAGATCGAATACGTGGTAAACTATGCGTTTTAATTGTATATAATTAATACAACAGTACGTTGTGAAAAAGGACTATTAACAAGTATTTTTTTTTTTTTTTTTTTTTTTTTTTTTTTTTTNTTTTTTTTTTTTTTTTTTTTTTAGTGAAAGGGGGAAGTATGGAACAACAATTTTAGTGATACCGATACATACCATTCCTGGAAACAAAAAGTTATTTGAAATAGGTAAATTATAAATTTTCATTTAATTATCCTAATATAGTTAGCAATTTTCTCAAAGGTTTGGACGGGGTCACTCCAGTAGTATCCGAATATGATATAGTAAAAATAAATAAATTCGGCTTTAATATTTAATAATACATAATACAGTAATACAGTCAACCTCCCTATAGTCACCTCGGATATAGTCATATCATATATGATATACCCCCTTAATAATAATAATAAGCACATTTCCGTTCATCACCGTGAATTTATATGAAAAAAAAAAAAAATCAATACACATTATACATATGTGATATGGTGATATGGTACGCTGTTATAATTATTTTGTTATAATTATTTTTAAATAAATAAATAATATAGATTATTAAAAAAAAATGCTTTTGTTAGTTTCAGACTTTCGGCCTGTAATAAAAAAATAGTTTCATAGTTTCGGCCTATATAGAGTTTCGGCCATGGTTTCGGATTTCGGCACTAGTTTCGGACTTGGGTTTCATAATTTTGGATTCAGTCATGTCTTGGGAAGTTTCGGCTATAAAGAATATATTGTAGTTCATTAATATTATTAATATTATTTGATTCATAATCGAAACAATAAGGGTTAATTTTAATAAATTAAATGTTTATAAATAATTTATTATGTTTGTCCATTAAGGCTTAATTTGGTATTCAAATACCTTGGTTTTATTTGAATTATTACAATTATGGTGATGAAAGTATAAAATAAGTAGTATTATGAAAATCATTGATTTTATAACTACCGTATTTTGCGGTATATAAGCACCCCCTTTTTTGCACTTAATGCCGGCCAAGATCCTCATAATTCTGGCCAAAATTGCCAACCGCAAAATATGGTATTCGAATAATTTTAAGAAATATCATAATTTCTAATTTGTAATCAAAAATTAAAATATGCACATTAATTCATCTCAAAATATTTTAAATCTCTAAATTTCAATTTTTGATTTTTGATTTTTTTTTTGTAAAAAAAAAAACATTGAAATATTTTGGCATTTATTTGATAGACGTCATATCGGAGATAATAATACTATACTTACATTATTTCAACTCTCAAATTAATTATTCAATTATTACAATCACAAATTGTGAGCATTTATGCATTCGTAATCATAATACTCGTTACAATGAAATAATAAATCTCAATTTTTTTTTTGTTTGATCAGATTTAAAATCATCTTGCCAAACACACGTCAAAATCCGCAGTACTCCAACATGATGATGTATAGAACTTTTTTTTTTCAGAGAGCAACTTAATTGACCTTTTTTTAATAATCGAAGGGCGGTTATAAGTTCTAATTTAGAAGCTTTCAAAGACTAAACGAAAGAAAAATTCGAAATATTACGCGCTCGAAATGACATTGCATTTAGAACACTAAGAAAAAAACAAATGGATAGAAATTTATTCATGTTGAAAGTGTCTCTTTTATTTGGAAATCGTTTATCAATATTTATTATTATTTATTAATCGTTTATTAATCGTATTTCTTTTTTTTTTCAACCAAACATTACGCCTTGAAACAGCAGCTGCATCAACAAATGATATGATCTTAGAGATTTTGAATTTATTCAAAATAATAATTTAGAGAATAATTTTAAATTTGTATAAAATAATCATGTCCTTTAAAGTGCGAATTGCGAAAAGAGTTATATATTTATTACTGAAATTATTTTACAGAGTTTCTTTCAAATAAAAAAAAAATAAAAAAATAAAAAAATTCGTATAACAATAAGAATTACGCAAAAACAAAATAAATTAACAAAATTTCTTTCCAAAGTAAATAATTCGTTGTTAGACCAATTCTTGGTTTAAATGATTTGCTGATTTGACATGTACATTCAAGTATTTAAATATTACAAATGCCGCCCGTTATAACGACACTCTTTGGGCCATTAGTAAAAATTTTCTAATTGTCGTTATAATTTTGATTTATTATGTTTTGTATAAGAATCCAAAAAAAAACGGTATGTCGTCATACAATAAATGTCGTTATAACGAGATGTCGTTATAACGGGCGGCACTTTAATAAATAATATTTTTAAATTTTAAAAAAATTTACTTCAAAAATGGTCAATGATTAATTATATCAATCAATTAACAATATATCTGTTACCAATTAACCAATTTATATTTTTTGCCAAAAGTTTCGAATAATAATTTTCTCAATGAAAAGTAATTCTTATAAGAAACTTGATGTATTCACATTTACTACTTTTATTCAATTCAAGGAAACGGTTCCAAAATCTACTTTTCAATTCTAAATCTAGTATATTTCGAACTTAAGGATCATTAGCCAATTTTAAAGATGGAGTCGATGTCAACTCCGGAGCAGCTCCAACGAGCGTACGAGCGCTCAAATTGAAATTAAGATTGCTATAGATCGAATTTATTTAATAATAACGTTAAATTACTCAGATATATAAAAAAATGCAACTAACTATTTTAACTATCACTAATTTACTATGCAAATTATAAAAAAAATATTATCTCTTATATTGTAATTAATGCAATTGAATAAATATTTAGTATAGATATTTTTGTATAAATTACTGTGCTTTAGACAAAAAATATACATGTAAAAATTGTAAGAAACAAAATTAATAAGAAATAACGTATTTTTCTAACTTATAATAAATTATTATTGGATGGGGGAATAGAGATATCGGTTGAAGACGACCAATAGGAATTAATGCTACTAATACTGATTCGTAAAAATTGTAAAATCCTGCATATTTCTAATATAATTGTGGTTACGAAAATTCAACAAAAGACTCTACAAGCCAATAAATTATATAGATGGTGGAGATGTTATCTTACATTCATCACCAGGTACATCTATCGGGTTGGTTAACAAAGATTCCCCATTTGCGACGTTAAATAATCTTGGAGAAATGAAACAACAGCATATGCTCGGGATTGCTCATATCAATTACATATACATTACCATTACTTTGAATTGATACAAAGTAAAGAATTTTCTAATAAATACCGTAATTTTTCGGTAGATTTTTCAATTTTTTTAAAAATAATATTCCAAAATTAAAACTTTGAAATATTAATTTTAATCTTTTGTAATTATGTTATTTCCAGGGTAAATGAATGCCGGTGTTAATTTGTTGAGCAATACACATCGGTGATTCGACAATGATGGCGGATGCATACTGGTCAACGGTTTCTGCTGGGGGTTGTTGATACTGTTATCCAATTCAGTAGTCCACATTTCGACTAGCGCAGGAGTCCGGAATTGCTACTTTATTGTTAAACTTAATTTTCATTCATCATCCACTCTTTCATATTCAACTTTGACA